TAAATCTATTTCTACTGATACTGTTAAGCACCTATCCATTCCATATCTGGATATGAAACCTACCAACAGGGCGAGGCTTAGTGTCAGGCAGCAGGCAATTTGGGATGAGCAGCAAGATGATATGATAAGTCTACCATCAATGATTAACCATCTAGTCTGCACACTGATTGTAAGGAGGAAGTTATAATAACAAGGCACCACATTGACCAGAATTTTATTAAACTTCATTTTATTTTCCAAGGCAGTGAGCATTGTGAATCTCAAGTCACTATTGCCTGTGGCGCTCGACTCGCAATCTGCTGGTTGTGGGTTAGAATCCCGATCACGTCAAACATGCTCGCCCTTTCAGCCATGGGGGCATTATAATGTGACAGTCAACCCCACTATTCGTTGGTAAATGAGTAGCCCAAGAGTTGGTGGTGGGTGGTAATGACTAGCTGCCTTCCCTCTAGTCTTACACTGCTAAATTAGGAACGGCTAGCCCAGATAGCCCTCGTGTAGCTTTGCGCAAAATTCATAACAAACAAACAAACTATTGCCTACATTTTATTTTCATAGGGCAGTGAACATTGTGACTCTCAAGTCACTATTGCCTACATTTTATTTTCATGCTCTTGCAAAACTTTAATGTTGTGCAGGTGTCATTTGAAATGATGACATTGTCCAGCTCTGTGTCTTTTTTATTATTTTTGGGCATAAAAAAAATTGGTGTCACAGTTGATAGTCGTATAAAGTCCCTATTCATAATAATATTGATATTGCAGGTTGTGTTTGGATTGTGTGAGAAGTAGCTAATTGTTGTGCTACCATTTAGAATGTATTATCCTTTATAATGCAGTGTCACACTTCTAGCAAGATTGATAGACATACAACCAAAATGCTGTAGTCTTTTAACATTGATCTATGAAATGAGTAGTTGGACTGTTGTAATTGCTTAGTGCTTTTTGACAAAATATAACAGGATTTTCACAGTTAATTAAATAGGACATTGTAAAGGAAAGTCCAGCTTCATTACCTCATAACCTTGAGTAATCTGTTGTAAAATTAAAATAAGTTAAAGCTAACAAAAGTAGAAAGATATATATATATATATTGGTAAGCATTGGGCTGATAATGAATATTAAGATGAAAAAAAACAACAACTAACTCTTCAAAATTATGTAATTCTAGATAGGAGGTTATCCCCAACCTAAAAAGTTATTGAAGCTTTTACAGTAAAAGAGTAACTAAAGGGCTTTACAGTTCTTGGAAAATTGAATGATTAAAAAATATCTCAAATATAGGTGAAACCATATCACTAAAACTACTACTAGTAAATTTATGGTGGCATTCAACTGTGTGCCTAGGCATAGTAGTTTTGGTATATTGAACAGTCAAAACAATAATCTTATTGTAGGGATCTAGGAAACTCTTTAGACATTTTAAGTAAATGCAGTAAGGGACCTTAACAGAGACAAAGATAGTTTTTTTTATATCCCGTGGACACTTCTAGTTCCACATCAAGTAGCTCAAACCTAATTATTGTAATATTTGCCAAAGTCTGAACAATTAAAAATATTATTTAAATTTTTGTAAAATAAGATCTAATATTTGATATTGCCATAAGAGGACCAAAACAAAACCAGAGCCCTCATAATAGCAGGAATGTAATGACTGCCCTATAGGCTCATAAAACAAATTATGGATGTGTTATTTGAATTGTTATCACTTCTGCATTAAACCACCAAATTTTTCGGGGTTTTCTAAGTTCGTGGATCATTGATCAAGCCTAAAATATTATGTTAAAATCTATTATTTACTATGAGCTAATGGATGCTTTATCCATGAAAGTAAAGTGTGAAACAGGGTTGGCAGTTTATTTTGTTTCAATAATTGTTTGTTGTTCTGACTATTTATAAGTTCGTTAAAATATTTGTTGAACTACTTACAATAAATAATCCACTGCCAATGATGTATTAACAACTATGCACATATAAGCCTAACAACTTGATCACAAGGTCTAACCTTAAGCATTTCAATAAGCAGCTGTACTTCACTGTTTTGTGAACTGTTTGAAATTTACCACTTCTCTCTCTATACAAGAATGTTTAGCATCTTCACTGATACATGATAGGTAAATTTTCTTGAAATAACAGCTCAATCTCTTTAAATATTTTTATCATTACTCAATATCAGTAATAAAAAAATCTGTAGAAAGAGTACTTGAATTAGCATGGTGCAGATATTTGGAATCTTTATTGGGGGTGTCTTGGTTTGCAATTTTTCTCACCAGTTACTAATTTATAACCAATTAGTTTCTTTGATATAAGAGTTTACAAAGTTTATGAACTGTCTATGACAAATGGAGCTGACATAGATCACAGGATTAATTAAACCAATAATTTCTGTTATGTTGAGATTTTATTATTCACTCATGCATTAAAAGATAAACAGATTGTTAAATCAGTCCTTTATTTCAGAACAAAATACATAAAATAGTTCAGATAAACTGACATATTAAGAATACTACTTTGTTTAGAATCAGATCAGTAAATATATCTTCACACATGCTCTGTTTATGTATATCTTTGTGTACTGTAAATCACCTAAAAACCTTCATGTCCACTATTTGCTGCATATGATATGACTAAGTTAGCAAGCTTCTCCTACAATCAGATTTGATATATCACAAGTGTAGTTTGAGTAGCAGTTAGGAAATGTTGATGTGTTTAGGTCCTCAAGTCCAACTATAACTGTTTGTCCAAGTAATTGTAACACGTCTAGATTATGTACATGTAACTGAGTCCAACTGAATTTTAAATTGTATAGGAAAACTTGCATATTATGCTTATATGTATTTGATATGGGCAGATCAAACTGCATGTGTCATGACTTTTTTAGAAACATTCAAAATTTAATCAAGCTACTTTATTATCATGGTATACAAATAAACTTGACATAAAAACATATTTAATAAATCAAATTTTAATATTATATATGATTTAAGTTCTCAATCTCACCCTGGTATGAGAATTGTGACATTTGCTCTATAGGTATTCCCTCTTCTCTAATTTATTTACCACCCCTCTGAGAAGTATGGAATTTAATGTAAATTACTCATTATAATACTGGTATTACTCAGGCGTAGCATGATTTTTATAGCCTTCAATCTTATTTGGTTACAGAGCCACAAAATAGAAAATTAGACCCTTCTTACCATACACATCTGTCACATCCTCTCTTTCACAAATTGCCAATAGTTCTCTCTGATGTTTAATACAGTATTATTTAAAATCAACAGAAAATTTTTAATTTATCAAATGATTTATTATATTACTTTCGATGACGAGGAACCCACTTTGAGACTAATAATGCTTGAAGATGGCTTGAATGGGTAATGAAGAAAAAACTTTAATATAAGTTTAACATAACAGCAAATGTACAATGTTTCGAAAAGGTTTTGTCATCATCATTACCCATTCAAGCCATCTCCAAGCATTATTATATTACTTTGTTTTTTGTACAGAGAATTGTTTATTTCACTTTCAGTTCAAACTTTAGTACTATAGACATTGACAAGCTTAGTTGAATTTTTAATGGCTCTTATCACATAGTTAGAAAGTCAGAAAAATTATGATATGGGATATTGTCTGCTTTTGACATGTTATTATTCTGTGTTCTTTGGTACATTATTTAGTTAAATAAAAAAACGTTTAGTATAGCAGTACCATTAGTGTAAAATTCAGGTCAAGTTTCATCGGCAGTTGAGAGCAAAAAAATGAAGATCCAGGCAAGTGTCATATTTCTTGCTTTTCATATATATTCTTTATTTTTTATTATAAAAGTAACTAACATTTTAAAAGTAGGAACTTGTTAGCTTAGATAAGGTGAGATAAAGAGAAAAAAAATTTTCATGAGGCACACACGCGAGTAGCTCCTTCGTTACATAATTTAATAGAATAACATGAACTACACATTTGCCGAGTGATTCTGTGTGGTAGGATTATTAGTTAGACATGGATCAAAAGGCAATAAAACAATAACATTGAAGTATATACAGATGTATGCTGTGACTAGCTTCAAGCTATTTAGGATAAACAAGTCTAGTTTTCTGTTACAAACTGAAGCCATTTTAGAAAGAAAAAAGGGGTAATTTAAGTTTATTTCTTATTTTTTATGGTGTTTATGAGGCTGGTTTAAATAGAGCTACGGTATATAAAAAGTAATGGCTAAAATATAAAGTTTTACTGAAAAAAGTGCTTGAAATTTAGTTAGGTGATTTTAGAGAATACACAAGTAAAATTTGAAATTTTTCAGATGAAGAAAAGTATTTTTAATCTTAACATGAAAATCTCATTGCACCAAGAGGAGTCAACAGTTTGACTCCATATATTCACAGAGAAATTTTGAGCAAAAATACTTATTTAAACATTTTTATGTTTGTCTTTAAAAGACTTGTAATGCTTACTGAAAGCTTTCAAAATTTCATGAAGATACACAAAACTTATTAAAAGTTATAGTATGGAAACTAAAGATCAATTTGAGGTCAAAATTTAGGTCGAATCGACTGATCTTATAGCAAGAATATTAATTCCTTATAATCTCATTTGGATATCAAATTACCATAGTTTTATTTTATATATATATATTACGAGTCTCATCAAATTATCATCCACAAGTTACAACGAATTTTCCATTAATTTATTTGTACTATATTTAGTTCTTTTTTGTCCACTTTGTTCCTTATAGGTTCAGAGATCCCATTGAATGGGAATTGGTTACCTTAAAAGGTTTTTTATCAAAAGAAGAACTTTCAACATTTAGAATGACCTATCTGCCAAAACAGTTAAGACAAGAGATAGAGAAATTCAAAATGAGAGATTTTCTGATGGAAACTGACACTAAAAATTTGGAATCAGGTAAAATAATTGTTTGAATCACCTAAATCATTTATTTTAGAATAAGACGACATAAGAGTAAGTTATAGTAGAATTATTAGGGTGGATTTATTATTTATTCTACTTTAAGAACTATTGGAACTTCTAAGGGTGGAGGTTGAGAGGAACTTTTAGTAAAAATATTTTTAGGGTGTTTTTATTTTATTTCTACTTTTGATATTAGTAGAACTTTTAAGGGTAACTGCCTTCCCACAACTGGCTGCAGATAGTGAAAGGCAGTAGGAGTTGAGATTCATTAATTCATTTTCCATGATTGCTAAGTAGTTTTTCATCTGCATTTGAAATTTGTCTGATAGATGGGATATCCCCAATGCTTTTGGGAGCTATCTCCACAGACAGTTTCAGTTATAACTTCAAGGTTATGACTAGAAATTACAATGAACTTTATAAAATTATTTTAAGGCTTAAATTATATTAAGTTCATTATTGTTTTATAGTGCTGATTTTAATTGCCTATTAGCAACTAATGTAATTAATATGATAATAGTTTTGAAGCTATTTCTTTTATATATATGTACTGTTATGGCAAGATAGACTATTTGGCTACCTTGAATGAATCTATTAATTTGTCAAGCAATAATACATTGGAATGATAAATAAACCATAAAAACAAATTTAATGTATCAATGTTCTCATGTTCTGCAGTGACAACATTTTATGTATATTAACTTTTTAAAGTTTTTTGCATGTTTTAGGTTATTCTGAACTAAGGTAGAATCAGAACCTGTTTATTTGTAGTGATAAGACATATTTAATTTCAGAAATTATTGGATCAAGCCAAAATTTGGCTGAAAAGGGTTCCATTTCATCTGTGAAAAGGACCTCTTCTGACAGCAGGAGCAGATCTGTCTCCATCAAACACAAACTTGATGATAGGTTAGTTCGAGCAGCTCAGAAACTGGATATAAAACAGCAGAGAAAAATCACAAGACAAGCTAAGGTAAGTTCTAACTTTGGATTTCTTAATTACTTATAGTTATAAGCTTATAAGTAATAGAAATAAAGATGTGACTTATTTTAGGTGCTTTAGCATCTACTCAGACATAACATTGCAAAGTTTTGTTTTTCAACATTAGATAAACTCACTTGCTTTATTTACTTTATGAAATGCTGAGATCTAATAAGTTATTCTTTTAAAGTAATTTCTATATGTTCTTGGCTTTAATAAAAATATACAGAACTTTGTCCCTTTAATTATAATTGTTTTATTGTTGTTTTTTCTTGAATATATGGTACTTTCGTTTGCTTTTTCTGTGTAAAGCCTGCAGTATTTTAAAGTTATTTTCATACTTTCATAGAGGTTGTTCAGAAAGTCTGATTCTTTGTAATGATTAATGAAATAAGTGAATGCTCCAGTAAGCATCAACATTTTTGATATTAATATCTAAGTATCAAATTTTAACATTAAAATTAAACAAGGACTGCTGACACGATTGTAAATTAGTGGAACTCTTGAATGTACAATCAATGTTTAGGAGGCTCCATCTTATCTATTACAAGTATTCAAAGAGCACACTTGTTTTTAATGTCAAAGGTAAACAACAAGAATAATTATTGTATCATTGTTGTCATAAAGCTAAATTAAAAAATAAATTTAAATTAAGACAATACTAATGAAACATGAGTATCATATGAAATAAAAAGGTTTACATAATGTTACATTGGTAAGAGTAAGCATGAAAAACATCAATGTTATGTGGTAAAAGATTATAAAATCATTAAAATAATTGTAAAGAGTGAATTTTATACTCACTGTTAGTTTTTTTTTGTTTCTTCCCTAAACATGTTTGTCACCCTGGTCTGTATACTACTTTACTTCATTTCTTGAAAAAAATATCCCTGTTATTATGTATTATGAATCTAGAGTGATTTTTTTTATTTTAAGAATTATGAATGGTTAAACATGTTTTAATGAAAAGTGAAATTCAGTAAATCATTTTTTTAATCATTAGTGTCCAGTTTATAGGTTTAATATGAAATTTAATCTTTTGTATATGTTGGCATAGGTGGTGAAGGTTGTTTTTAAATTCAAAAAATAAATAGTACCTTGAACATGCATGTAATGATACCTACTTTTATCTTTAAAAGAATAGAGCAAACAGAAGCAAACCAATTTTTTTTAGTGCTATGAACTATTGTGTGTGAATCTTTTAAAATATTCCGTTTTTTGATATGCATTAAATTTTTATATATAATTTTATTTATTTATTTCCTTTTAGTCTTTTTGTGTGTGTGTTGGTTATTGGATTTAAAATGGCATAGATACTTTTGCATAGGCAGTGACTTTTGTTGCTGAGTGCTCATGTGTGAAAAACCACACAAGGGGATGCAGCCCTTCATGTTTGACAGGAGCCATCACACTGTCACTTTATAGCACTTGTAAAATGAGTTTTGTGAGGGCTTTAAAAAGCCCTCATCAGGTCTGTCATAATGCTTGCTGTTTTGGGCCCACTACTAGCCCTTTTATTCTTAATAAAAAATAAATATTTTTGAATTTAGATCCTGTTATTTTTTGTCATGGCATTAGCTATGCAATCAGCTGTTGGTTTATCCACAGACAACTTCACTGATAACTTCATGTGACCATGTTAGCTGCTCTGACTTTGGTAGTTTTATTTTAATTGGCTTAGATTAGTGATGCTACACACTCAGTAATATGACATTTTTGAACTTCATTGTTTTATATAGACATCAAATATGTGTAACTTAGAAACTAAGTCAGTGTTTTAAAGTTTAAATTAAATTGGATATTAATTATTAACAAATCCAGGCTAGCAAAAATAGTTTTAGTAAATTAGATCATGACCTAAATTGCATTGATAGACTATTTTCTGCATGATATGACGGTGCAAGTATCTACCGTGTTGATCAGAGTTCACCATAGTTCATTGGCACACAGTTTATCCAGCAATACTTTGTTTTGTTGATAGAAAAACAGTACAATTCAGTGAATATAAAATAAACTTTTATTGTCTAATTTTGTAAGCAAAGAATCAAGATATGATATCAGCCCACTAACAGCCTCCATGGACTGTTTGGTGGGGGCTGTTTACAGCCCTCGTGTATATTTCAAATATGAAGGACTGGAGATGGGGGTTGGCCATGCCATAAAACAACATTCTTGATTAGACTGCTTACAATATAACCAGGCCAAATTGAATCTATAATTTTTACACAAGTTACATCTATATTAACAAGCCACACATATTAATTGCTTTACTGATTTTTTTCCTTTTAAATCAATTGACAGTTGACTCTGTCTTTAGCTTGTATCCCCTACAAGTGCTGTGTTACCAGTAAAGACACTATGCCTTTAAATCTGATGCTCCATTTTCTTAAAAATCCTGACATAAAAATATCATAACAAAGTAATTTTTCTAACATTAGGTTGTTGAACTAGTCATATGAGCTGATAAATTTACATAATTAGGTGAATGCCAAGTTTTCTTTTAAAACAAGCAACTGACCTCTATATTCACATAGGAAGTGACTCTGTGGGTGCTCCAGAGTATAGCACCCACATTAAAACATTTTTACTCATACTCATAAAATTACATTGCATAAAACTGTATTTAGTGGAATACATGTCCACTCATCTTTATTAAGCAAAGCAAAATAAAATAAACACTAAATATTTTCATACTTGTAATCATAAGTGTAATCAAAGGTACTAGCTCCAAGGATTCATTCATAGCTTGAACACACCATCTCAACAGATGTGAAGAAGACTCACTCAAAAAGCCAAAAGATTTTTAGGGCTATGGTCATGATAATCAATATTTGGTTAGGAGTAGTCATGTTGGTGGAGGGTTTTGATGACAAACTGCCCTCTCTGTGATCAGCAATTCTAAATTAGAAATGACTATTAGGTGTCTCTGACCTGGCCATTTAGCTTGCATTACAGGTTGAAAGGACTCATGTGATAGAGACAGGCAAAACTGTATTAAAAATATAATGAGATTTTTTAATTGCTTTTGTTGCATTGAAATACAAATTATAAAACATTTAATCATCAAACTATTTAGACAGACATAAATACAACACAGTTAAAGGCCTATATCTACTAATTACATTTAAATATAAGACAATACATAAGCAAAAATAATCATTTAGTTTAACATATGGTTTTATAGTGATATGTATAAATTTTTACAAGCCCTTACTTCTCTGGTTCCTCATGCAAGTCCAGCTCATCAGGAATGAACATAACATGTAATGAAACTGGTATCTCCAGCAGGTTTTTAATTGAATAAATCTGGTCTCGGTATATTTTCAGTTCTTCAATCATGCTTTTTTTTGTATTTCTTAATGCTATCAACCTCTGATTAAAATTTCTTTTCTTTTCATACACCTGAAATAAGAAACAAGTTCCATTCCCAGTGTTCAGAAGTTTATACAGGAAAGTTAAAAATGGTTTCTTTAAAGCACATTTGGCTTATAAAATTCATATAAAAGTTAAGTTGAATGAGACAGTATTTCATTATAAAATTACATATGAACTATAAAATCACAAAATAATTGGTACAGTAAATACCTGGGTATGGCACAACACTGCATGTCTGGACTTAGTTTCACAGCTAAGTATCAATTATTACAACAAAAATACATTCGATATGTACCAGTTGTAAACTGATAAAGGTAAAATCTTAAATCTCATAAGATAAGAAAGAATCTGGAAGTTATTTTTCAATTTATAAATAAATAATTTTCTTGATAGTTAAAAAGTCTGCCAAAATATAACAAAAAAATACTGAAGTCTTGTATGGTGCCTGTTATTTTAAAATGTATGTATGAATAACAGACAGTACACAATCTAACTAACTACATAAATAATGTGATACCCTCAGATATCATAGGGAAGTATCGAATATTATCCTACTAGTCTTTCAAGTTGAAAGAACTGTTGTTTTTTCTTTGTTGCATTTGTTCTGAGGTGATCAGGGACAATGTAATCTTCAGCTGTTTTTAATTTGTAATCCCCTAAAGTTTGTTTGGCTTTTAATATTGCTTCTTCTTCTTTTGGATTTTCTGCATTCTCATCTGGTTTACAAGCAAGCAGTGCAACCCACTGGAAAACAAAAGAGACAGAGGACTTATTCCCAATGAGAGCTTTACTTGAATTATTTCCACATCAGAAGGAGATTATTCTTGGATAAATGAAATAATGTGTCAAATTGCATGTAAAATTCACTACTACAGAGTCAGGCAATTATGAGAAAGCTGAACCTCCTTTATTTTCTCACCAGAAGTTTATTTTGGACTAGTAAAACCATCAGTCACCTAGTAAGTATTCTGGCTAGGCATAGCATAGTGGTTAATTTTCTGGGCAGCACAGATCAGAAGTTGCAAGGTTTGTGCCATGAAATATGCTACATACTTTCAACTCTGAGGATACTATAACTATAACTTTCTTCTGCCACATCATCATAAACAACTTGCTGAAAGGATAAACACGTGTTTTCATCTATACTGTGATCAGACGTTAAATGAGAGGAATTACTTGACAAAGAGACACGTCTGGCTGCTTTTCTTGCATTCTGTATTTGAAGAGTTATGAGTATCATAATGCTGATTGTAAATGGTAAACATTTATATAAGTTACAGTTGCAAAACCTTATTAGCATTTTAATCCAGAAACTAAAAAATGACACTGATTTTCAGGAAATACATTTCATATTAATTTGTTTCTCAAAAAACTTAACATATGCTTTAAGTTGATGAAGTATGGGTTTAGCTACATGTTTATTCCTCACTATTTTTGTTATTTAGATTTTTTCTGTTTAATATAATATAATATTTAATACAATTTTGAAATTTTTTACTGGCATGCACTTTCATACATTCTCATTTCAACAACATGAATTGGATCAAAATGTCATTTAATCGCTAGTTTGAGGCAAGCTGCCTGTCTCAACAGAAACTTTAAACTGCTCACTAATTGCTAACTATGTCTTACAAATAATATTGAAAGCAAAATTTGACAAAGAATGTTTGAAAAAATATTTATGAAAAAGTACATTACATAAACTTCAACATCTACAATCTAGGTAAAAAATATGCTGGTTTTACTTAGTTGTTATCAAACACTTCAAATAACATAAAATATATCAACTTAATGTTCCAAAGGTTTCATAAAACCCAATCTTATTTACAACAATGACACCTTCAGCAAACTTTAGCTAAGACCAAAGTGTTAACTTAATGATACAGCATTTCTTTCCTACTACCAGACAGATGAAAGGAGAAAAATTTATTCTATTTATAAATCACACAAAACAAAACTTACTAATCTTGTTTTGTCACCTTGAACACCTAATGGTGAGTTCAAAATTTTGTCTTCTTCAACAGAAGGAACATTTTCCATCAGCTGCACTTGAAAATTTGTAAGCATCTCATTGGTTACACATCTTTGTCTTAGCAAAAAAGAAAATTGAAAAGTTACCTTAAACAATAATATGAAACATTTATAGTAAATTAGTTCTCATCTCATCATAAAAAGATATCATATCATAAATGTTGATACAAAAATGAGGAGGTCTAAAATCTATAGCTCGTCTATCTAAATTTACCTTTTTTTGCATGGAAATGGGCTATTCTGCCATGCTCAGCATTCTTTGATTGACTTACATTTCCTTAGGCTGAACTATCATGTCATGATTGAAGCTTTCAAAGCAATTAATTACTGTTTTATTTCAGTCATAGATTATTACATCTAAGAAAATAATGACAAGAAATACGTTTGGTTTTTAAGTGTTTGGGTTAGCAACATGGAAATTCTACATGAGACTGTGCTTCGCTTACTTTATCTGATTGTGATCCTAGTGGATTTTGACAGTACAAGTATTGCAAGTTATTACTGTTAGAAATTATAATTATTAATGATAATAATTAATTATATGTTACTATCATTTTAAAAATGTAAACTGAAAACAAATTCTTCACCTTGTCTAAAGTATTATTTCAAAAGTACTCTTTAAATCTATTATGAAACATTATATTTAATGTGTTATTCTCTTGAAAAGAAGCTGAAAGATTTTAAAAAAATCAGGTAATACATTGGAATAGGGCAATGTAAAGAGTAGGGATGCATGGATAGTAAAATTTGGCTGAATACTGGGTCCAGGTACCTGGTTGCTAAGCTTTGGCCACAGCCAGGTGTAAA